TGTGAGAGCTCACATATTGGTGTTAGCTGAAATGAGAGAAGAATTACCACCTCACCTCCAAGCGAGGTAACGGCCCAAGGCCTGAGGGAAAAGAGATCGAGGCGAAGGGTCAGCCAGTATTTATAGCCAGGGGAGAGAGAGACCCCTGGTGAAGGGTTAAGGAACTAAAGGAGGGGCTAACTCCGACAAGTCTGTTTCTTATTTTTCCAAGATGACAGGTCCTTGACTAAACCCTTTAGCAGCATATCTTGATTTATAATCTATTGTGTTGTTGGCATTTTCCTTAAGAGTATACACACATCTACCACCAACTATATTTTTGCCAAAGTTTGAGGTTGTTACTGTGAAGGAATTATTTTCCATGAAGAATTTAATTTCTTCGTCCTTTGCCATCACCAACTGATTATACAGCAGAAATGAAGGTAGTGGAATATTAAATTATCTTACTTAAGGAAGAGAGACAAATATATCCACAGTTTACTTTAATATATTCATTTCATAAGCAGATTAAATAAAAAAAATATAGAATCAGAAATATTTAAAACTTAACTTCAGGTTTACCCACTCCACAGCTTTTTATTTTGTGACACTTCAATTGTTTTTTTTTAATATACGTTTCTGGACAACAGTGAGCTGCCATAGTGGATGCCATCTTAGTTTATTGCTTGTCGCTCCATATCCATTTATTAAGGATAATAGGAGTAGATAGGTTCGCCTGTCGTCCGGTTCTCACTTCTCCCCAGTCTTTTGAACAGGAATAAAGATTTATCCCTTGTTTCCTGTTTAGAATTGTGTTTCCAGTTCCTTCTAAATCTTTTCATTCTCTTTCACTCCTAGTATCCCCCTTTGCGTCTTAGTAGCATTATCTCCATGTTTGGATTGAACTGATTAATATATATATATATATATATATATATATATATGTGTGTGTGTGTGTGTGTGTGTGTGTGTGTGTGTGTGTGTGTGTGATAAAATATAGTTTTAAGGTATGCTATATTTATGGGTAAAACTGCTCGACATCAGGGATATAGCGTATGTAAATATAAAAGTGGACATTAGGTGACCTCAGTGTACACTTATATATATATATATATATATATATATATATATATATATATATATCGCCCAGTTCACACGTCTCCTAGTATTTTGAATAGGAGTAGAGGTTTATCTCTTGTTTAGGTTTGGGTTTCCGATTCCTTCTAAAGTCTTTTCATTCTCTTTCACTCCCAGTAGCCCCTTGCGTCTTAATGGCATTATCACCTTGCTTTGGATGAAATGCTTAAAAAAAAACCAGATAGCCGTGTTCTTCGACGAAGAAATCTCTTTGATCAAATATTTTCCGCTGAAATGTGTCACTTAAGGTCCTAACCCCAGTTAAAGGAAAACCACAGATGTTCTTTTTAACATTATTCTTAATGGCTGTCTTCCTTTTTTATCCTTGTAGTTTCCAATCGACATAACTTCCTTTCAGGTTTCCTTTTGGTGTGTGGAATAATACTGGCAATTTAATGCTAATGACGCCGTCGGGATTTTTACAATTCACAACGCAAGTGGCGCTGCCATCTTAGACTTTATTTTGAAATCTATAAAACCTGCGGAAAATGTAAGTTTTGAGAAATGGTTTTCAAAATCTGGGAGTTGAAACATAATCCTGTTCAACTTGAATTTAGGTTCGGCTGGGACCCGTTTGATATCAAGGAGCGTTTGTTTTTTTAAGAGATTTACTATTTTTTTTGCTTTAAACATATCGAAAAAGAAGGTTGAGGATGGGAAGGAGAACGAAGATAATAGTAAGAGGAAGGGGGGACGGGGAAGAAGAATGTTGAGGAGGAGGGCAAAAAGGAAAAGGAGGATAGAAAGAGGAAGAAAGAGTAGAGAGGTTGAAGAGGAGGAGAATTAAAAGTAGGATGATGGAAAGCGGGGAAAAGTAGAAAAGAAGGTTCCGAAAGATGGAAAGAAAGATGAAGAAAAGAAATGTTGAAGAGGAGGAAGACGGAAAGGAAGAGGAAGATGATGGAAAGAGGAATAAAGAATGGAGGAAAAGAAGAAGTTTGAGGAGGAGGAGGAGGAGGAGAATGAAAAAAGGAGTGGGTAGAAAGAGGAAGAAAGTGTAGAGATTGAATCGTTTTTACCATCTATCAACTCTTTGCAGTTTATTTAAAGCCAGAAAATATTTTTAGATTGTCAGAATATTTTAAAGAAAATAATGTTTTATTTTAGCGATACTAAGTCTTACTAATTAACTCATAGCTAGAAGAAGAGATAGATTCATATAAAGGAATTTGCGCATAAGTGAATAAAAAACGAACAGGAACGGGAACTCGGCTCTCCAAGTAACAATTCCGAACTTGGCTCTCCGATTCCCGAACCGTTAGCTATTACACCACCCACACATCCAAACTTACTGCATCTGATATTCCAAAGCGGTCACCCGTCTAGGTACTGAGCAGACTCGACGTTGCTTAAGTTTTGGTGATCGTACAAGGACAGGTGTTTCAAAGTTATATGGCCGTAAGCACGAAAAAGTAGAGAAGGTGGAGGTTGAGGAAAAAGGAAGAAAGAGTGGAGGAAAGAAATGTTGAGGAGGAGTATGAAAATATAGAGGGGAGGGGGAGAAAGAAGCAGAGGAGTGGTAGAAATGAATCTCCAAATTACTGTAAATAAGAAATAAAACGGCATAAAATTGTAACACTTAAACTTCGACTCTAGCCAATCAATTATCGACCTTTCTTTCTTTCTTTCTTTCTTTCTTTCTTTCTTTACTTCCTTCCTTACTTCCTTCTTCATTTCTTCTTCTTGAGGAAGAAAGAACGACATTGAATAGTTAATTAATGAGCACCTTTACTCTTGTCTCAGGTGACGGCTTTATTTCAGCCCAACCTGAATGTTTTATGCCACGCAAACCTAGTGAGGTAGGGTGGGAGAATAAAACAAAACAATTCACACCAAAGCGACATTTGTGTGTGCGGGTGCGCGCACGCGCGTGCGTGGGTATATGTGTGTAGGCGTGGCTGGGGGTTTCACGATGAGATATGACAACGTCATGGAAGTTGAAAAATATTCATGCGATCCAATTTGATCGAAAAAAATTAATCAGAACATTGACCTCAAATCATTCATATCCATGTTTTCCACATGACTTATCTCATTTTTCTTCTTTATCTATCACATTTCCTTCATTATCTATCTATCTATCTATCTCTCTCTCTCTCTCTCTCTATATATATATATATATATATATATATAATTTCCTTTATCTATCTATCTATCTATCTATCTATCTATCTCTCTCTCTCTCTCTATATATATATATATATATATATATATATATATATATATATATATATATATGTTATAACTGCTGTTATAACGAAATAATCAAGTTGAAAACCAGATATTGTCATTATTTAAACCTTTATTTTTGGTAATACCGACATGTAACCAGTGGATGGGTGAGGATCGAATAAAGCCGTGTTTTGCACGTGTGTTTATGTGTCCGACATTGTTGTAGTCCTCTCAGACGAAACTTGCCGATCAAGCCGATAACTCCATGCAGTTATCTCCCTTAGTTGTCTCCGCTATAGGACCTCCCTTTTCTATCTATTGTATCTTGCAAGTCTAGGGTTTACTTGAAAGGGTTTTAATTTTGACCGAATGCGTTTCGATCGCCTTTGGCTTTGTTTGCCACTACTGTCTGGTGCTGATTTGGTTAGAGGTGGGGCTTGTGGCAAATTGAAGGTGTCCATGTGTAAGTCGAAGTTAATGGATTGGCTGTCAGGTACCGAGTTATTCTTTGTTTGTCGTGGACGAAGTTGCTGTTTAACCACATACATTTTTTTTTCTTGCTTGTATGATACCGGATACCCAGCTTGAATTATCAGGTCGCTAATTTCTAGCAAATACTGGTGTGTGTATATTTGTAGCGTCTTTTGTGGTTGTTGACCCTGGACTTGTTTTTGTTGCGGATGTAAGGCGTCAAGTGTTGTACGGAGTTTCCGTCCCATGAGTGACTCTGCTAGTGTTTTTATTTCTTTTACTGACACATTCGGGGTTGAGCTAATGGCGTTATATTGTGAAAATGGCAACCTGGCAACCACATTGAACACAGAGTTGAGAGAAATGTTGAAGAAACCCAGTGACTCCATAAAATCTATCCCCAAAAGGTTACGGTTCGTGTTTGCTACATAAAAGACACCTGACATGCTCTAATCTCATTAAAGTGACAGTGGCTGTGAATTCGCCAATAATACGAACACTCTCTCCGGACGAACTCCATGCGATATGTTAAGTTAGTTCTAATTTCACTCTGCTTATGGTGTTCCATAGTTTGTTTTTGTTTGTTTTTTTTTAAATTAGAGCTATATCCGATGCAGTGTCAATCTGAAGTCGAGTGTCATGGTTATTTAAGGCAACCTAGACATATTTACGTCTCGACTTGGATTTGGGCGCGAAAGTTGCTACCAGACTGTTAGATTGTGAACTTTTTGGAGAACCGCCGCGAGGTGAGACTTTGGTTTGCATCGAGATAACTGACAGAACCCATCCTTGTGTCCTGTTTTCTTACATCTTCGGCAGCGATGTGTCTTGAACGGACCGTTACGTTCAAAATGCCATCCAGCAGTTCCAACACACGGAGGTGGTGCTCACCAGCCTTCTTGTCCGATGCCGGGCTTTCTACTTGGTCTTGTCGTTGGGCCGTGTAATAGCAGTGTAAGGGGCTGAATATTGAATCATGGATGAGTGAGGATTGAATAGAGCCGTGTTTTGCACATGTATTTATGTGTCCGACACTGTTGTAGTCCTCTCAGGCCAAACTTGCCGATCAAGCCGATAACACCGTACGGTTATCTCCCTTAGTTGGCTCCTCCTAGCAATATATATATATATATATATATATATATATATATATATATATATATATATATATATATATTTATCTCATTTCCTTCATTATCTATTTATCTAAACTCCTTTATTATCTATCTATCTATCTATCTATGCCTTTATTTCTTAATCTTTCCATTCTATCTATCTATCTATCTATCTATCTATCTATCTATGTCTGTCTATCTATCTATTTATCTATCTATCTATTTGTAGCTGGACACCCACACAAGATGGACTGGTCTAAGATTATTTAAACATTAGGCTCTCTTACTAAGGGGAAGCAGTTAACAATTACAATTAACTCTGTCGACTCACTGCCTCTTGGCGGAGAGTAAGCCAGATGAGGCTATGCCAAAGGGCAGAGTCTCGTCTGGGGAGGTAGACAGTTACCTGACCCAATGTATACGAGGTCTACGGGAAATTTTTGCCTGAGCCTACGAGCTCGGATTTCCCCACATAAAAATTGGCCTTGAGCTGCAATTCTGCCTTGTAGGGAGGTTGGTAAGTACCGGGCAGTAAACGATTACAGTTAACTCTACTTGTCGGCTCTCTGGGCGGAGAGGAACGCAGACTAGGCTATGCCAAAAGGCAGAGTCTCGTCTGGGGAGGTAGACAGCAACCCGACCCCGTGTATTTGCGGTCTACGGGGGATTATTGCTCTAGCCTACAGGCTTCTTTACATCTCACGTAAAAAAAAACTGGTCTTGTGCCATATCCCGCCTTGTGGGTAGTTCTCGGGTTAATACCGAATAGGTAACGGTTAGATTTCGTTAAAGCTCTGCTAGTCGACCTTTCTGCTTTCAGGTAGAGAGGAACTTAGACACGAGGCTATGCCTACGGGCAGAGTCTGGGGAGGTAGACAGCTGCCCGACCCCGCGAGGTGTACGGGGAATTTCTACCTAAGCAGTCCTAAGAATAGAAATGGAAATAAAAAGACACTCGCGGAGATCAGGAACAAAGCAAAAATAGACAAATATAAAGAGAAAAAGAAACAAATTATAGCAATATATATATATATATATATATATATATATATATATATATATATCATTTCCTTCATTATCTATTTATCTAAATTCCTTTATTATCTATCTATCTATCTATCTATCTATCTATCTATCTATCTATGCCTTTCTTTCTTCGTTTCTCTCTTAATCTTTCCATTTTATCTATCTATCTATCTATCTATCTATCTATCTATCTATCTATCTATCTGTAGCAATGCCAGAGCAATGGTATCGAAAAACAGCCGTGTTTAAAATCTCTTATCTCTTTCATTTTCTCTCTCCCTAAACTTCTCTCTCTACCTACAACCCTCAATAAAAAGAGGAAGACGGAAAACTGATATACTAAAAGAATGATAATGAAAAGATTTTTTTCTATCTGTGATGGAATTTTTGATGTACGGCAAACGAATATTGATACCAGGAGCACCGCAAAAAAAAAATAATATTAAAAGACTTCCATATCGGTCACCCTGGTATATCGCGAATGAAAGCCATATGTGTAGAGAGAGAATAATGCTTATAGTGAAAGATATAAAATTATTTTCTTCAAGTGACTGTCGAGTGATCCACTGAAAATGATCCATTGTCTTGATTCTTGATAGTGAACTGGTCGCTGATTCAAGCTAAATTGAAGCTGCTGACGAAGGAATTGTTTATCCTGCATTGTTGACGAAACAATAGACTCATTGAACCGGTTTTCGTGTTTAAATACACACGGGAATATGATTATAAGAAAAGCATTAAAGAGAGAGAGAGAGAGAGAGAGAGAGTGTGTGTGTGTGTGTGTGTGTGAGAGAGAGAGAGAGAGAGAGAGAGAGAGTGAGAGTTAGTGAGTGAATGAACGAGAGAAAATGAATGATAAATAAAAGTTTGTGTTATGGGACCTTACCCATAATAACATAACGGACTATTCCATACGTAATAAATACTGCGCCTCAAGAGGAAGCAGGGAGTTCCGTCTGAAGTTTGGAGTGAAGTCCGTCAGGAGTCTGTCAGTCAGTCAGTCAGTCAGAGCGAGCGAGTCAGTTAGTCGAGTCAGAGGCAGTCCGAAACAGAGTCGCGTTCAGACAATTACTACTAAACCTGATTGTTCGTACTAACACTTTTCTACTTCTCTGTATATATTCCTGTTTGTAATATATCTGTGTTATTCCATATCCGTGTTCGAGTTCTTCTTTATTGGTTCTACCTTGGACTATCACCGTGGTACAAGGAACCGGACCATAACAGTTAGTTGGAGAGATATAGAAATTAATAGAAATAGAAATATAAAGCGAGAGAAATATAAACATATATAGACAGGGAAAATTAGGATTGTTCTGCATCGAGAAGAGAAATGATAGGTAGAGTGAAGTAGATAAACACAATAACAAACAAAAAAACAAACAGATGATGAGTGGTAGACAATGACAGTGAGAAAGAAAGATAAAGATTGGTGAAGAGAAAAAAAAATTTACTTTCATTTAGGCCATCGACCAACTTCTCGTATTTTTCGTTTTTGTACTTCCCGTATTCTTTCTTTCTTTTTTGTCACGTGAACGACAATAGTCATGTAGTGAGTCCCAATAAAAATAAAATATAGACAAAAGTAAAAAGAATTCCACTTAAAATAAGGCATTTGCGCTTTCCTTTAAAATCCTTATCTCTTTCTGTCTCTTTCTCTTTCTCTCTCTCTCTCTCTCTCTCTCTGAACCCTTATCTCTTTCTTTCTCTTTCTCTCTCTCTTTCTCTGAACCCTTATCTCTTTCTTTCTCTTTCTCTCTCTCTTTCTCTCTGTCTCAACTAACGAGAAGCCAACATTCAAACAAAAAGAAGAAAAGACTTATCCTGGCTGAAAAATGTTGGACCTTTTCAGGAACAGAGCCTACTAATTTATGACTGGAAACTAACAAAAATCAGGGAGGCTCCATGCATAACTTCCATTATAATAAAAAAATGTAAATATCCACCTTATTAAGGAAATTTTTGCTACACCGACTACCAACGGACTCACTCATCACTCTAAAGAAAATAAATGTTATGGGATCTTACCCATAATAATAATAATGGACTATTCCATACTTAATAAATACTGCGCCTCAGGAGTAGGCGAGTAGTCAGTCGTTCGGAGAACCCACAATAAACAACCGACCTTGTGTCACATGCTGCCCCATTGGGGGTGGTGACTGAATATCGTCAGTCGTTCAAATCTTGGCCAGCTGTTCGGTTGAACTCTCTACCTTCGGGCGGGGAGGAACTCGAACAAGGCTACGCCGAAGGGCGGAGTCTGTTTCGGGGCGGTAAACCGGGCCTGAACCCGTTTATACGGGTTCAATGGGCATATTTTTGGGCCGAGCCCACGGGCTCGGAGATCCAACATTAAATAACCGGCCTTGTGCCCTAGTGGGAGGGGGTGACTGAATATCGTCAGTTGTTCAAGTCGAGTCAAGAGTCGAGTCAGAGACAGTCCGAAACAGAGTCGCGTTCATACAATTACTGTAAGACATTGGAATAGTGATACTGGTCGAGACTACATTGTTCTCTCCATTAAACCTGATTGTTCGTACTAACACTTTCTACTTCTCTGTATATATTCCTGTTTGTAATACATCTGTGTTATTCCATACCTGTGTTCGCGTTCTTCTTTAATGGTTCTACCTTGGACTATCACCGTGGTACAAGGAAGGAACCGGATATATATATATATATATATATATATATATATATATATATATATTTTTTAATCCTGAGTTAGTTCGCTTTATGCCCTATGTTTCCGATAAACATCACCAAAAATATCTACAATACCCCAGTAACAAAGACACATAGCCTAGTAGATTAAATATATCTAGTTCTCTGACAATTGTTAATTCAATCCTTGCATCTGCTAGTACTGAAAAGTCACATGTTTTGGTTAACTGAAAGAAACGGATAAACGATGCAGAGATGAATAATGCTGGTGAGGATTACTGACATGAAAGATGCATTAAGCTTGGAGAACAGTTTATCCCCATGGATTGAATAAAGTGCTTGGTTCAGGATTTCAAGAAGGTGACCAAGTATGAAGATAGACACCTTAAGAAGGCCGGAGAGTACAACAGTTAAAACGTCGCAAACTATAATAACCAAGATGAGCATGCTGATCCGAATAGAAAAGTATATAAGACAGACTCCCGAAGAAGGCCGAAAGGTACAACGGTCGAAACGTTGTAAGCATAACAATCAAGATGAATATGCTGGTCCAAATAGCAAAGTATATAAGACAGACAATCAACAAACGCGGGAAGATACAACGGTCGAAACGTTGTGAGTAAAACAACCAATATGAGTATATAATGATAGACACCTGAAGAAGGCCGCAGGTTACAATGGCTGAAACGTTGTGTGTAAACAACCAATATAAGGATGCTGGTCCGAATAGCAAAGTATATAATGATAGACACCTGAAGAAGGTTGCAGGTTACAATGGCTGAAACGTTGTGAGTAAACAACCAATATAAGGATGCTGGTCCGAATAACAAAGTATATAATGATAGACACCTGAAGAAGGCTGCAGGTTACAATGGCTGAAACGTTGTGAGTAAACAACCAATATAAGGATGCTGGTCCGAATAGCAAAGTATATAATGATAGACACCTGAAGAAGCAAGTCACAATGGCTGAAACGTTGTGAGTAAACAAACCAATATAAGGATGCTGGCGAATAGGTATATAATTATAGACACCTGAAGAATGGCAATGAAACGTTGTGAGTAAACAACCAATATAAGGATGCTGGTCCGAATAGCAAAGTATATAATGATAGACACCTGAAGAAGGTGCAGGTTACAATGGCTGAAACGTTGTGAGTAAACAACCAATATAAGGATGCTGGTCCGTTTAACAAAGTATATAATTATAGACACCTGAAGAAGGCTGCAGGTTACAATGGCTGAAACGTTGTGAGTAAACAACCAATATAAGGATGCTGGTCCGAATAGCAAAGTATATAATTATAGACACCTGAAGAAGGCTGCAGGTTACAATCCGTTGTGAGTAAACAACCAATATAAGGATGCTGGTCCGAATAGCAAAGTATATAATGATAGACACCTGAAGAAGGTGCAGGTTACAATGGCTGAAACGTTGTGAGTAAACAACCAATATAAGGATGCTGGTCCGTTTAACAAAGTATATAATTATAGACACCTGAAGAAGGCTGCAGGTTACAATGGCTGAAACGTTGTGAGTAAACAACCAATATAAGGATGCTGGTCCGAATAGCAAAGTATATAATGATAGACACCTGAAGAAGGCCGCAAGTCACAATGGCTGAAACGTTGTGAGTAAACAACCAATATAAGGATGCTGGTCCGAATAGCAAAGTATATAATTATAGACACCTGAAGAAGGCTGCAGGTTACAATTGAAATAGTAAACAACCAATATAAGGATGCTGGTCCGAATAGCAAAGTATATAATGATAGACACCTGAAGAAGGTGCAGGTTACAATGGCTGAAACGTTTGTAAACAACCAATATAAAGATGCTGGTCCGTTTAACAAAGTATATAAACCAATACCTGAAGAAGGGATGAAACGTTGGTCCAAATAAGGATGCAAAGTATATAATTATAGACACCTGAAGAAGGCTGCAGGTTACAATGGCTGAAACTTTGTGAGTAAACAACCAATATAATGATGCTGGTCCGAATAACAAAGTATATAATTATAGACACCTGAAGAAGGCCGCAAGTCACAATGGCTGAAACGTTGTGAGTAAACAACAAATATAAGGATGCTGGTCCGAATAGCAAAGTATATAATGATAGACACCTGAAGAAGGCTGCAGGTTACAATGGCTGAAACGTTGTGAGTAAACAACCAATATAAGGATGCTGGTCCGAAACAAAGTATATAATTATAGACACCTAGGCTGCAGGTTACAATGGCTGAAACGTTGTGTAAAACAACCAATATAAGGATGCTGGTCCGAATAGCAAAGTATATAATTATAGACACAATGGCTGAAAAGTAAACAACCAATATAAGGATGCTGGCAGGTATAACAATGGACACCTGAAAGGTTGCAGGTTTGTGAGTAAACAACCAATATAAGGATGCTGGTCCGAATAGCAAAGTATATAATGATAGACACCTGAAGAAGGCTGCAGGTTACAATGGCTGAAACGTTGTGAGTAAACAACCAATATAAGGATGCTGGTCCGAATAACAAAGTATATAATTATAGACACCTGAAGAAGGCTGCAGGTTACAATGGCTGAAACGTTGTGAGTAAACAACCAATATAAGGATGCTGGTCCGAATAGCAAAGTATATAATGATAGACACCTGAAGAAGGCTGCAGGTTACAATGGCTGAAAGAGTAAACAACCAATATAAGGATGCTGGTCCGAATAACAAAATATAATGATAGACAACGTTGTGAAACGTTGTGAGTAAACAACCAATATAAGGATGCTGGTCCGAATAGCAAAGTATATAATGATAGACACCTGAATTCAAGGTCTTTTTGTAGAAAAAGAAGTTTTCATGTTAAACTGTTTAAGAAATGAATTTATTCTTTGAAAAATAAAATCACGCATGTTTTGTAGCGAAGTATAGTTTCGTGCTTGTAGATTACCAGAAGGCCACAAAAGGTCAGTCGTGTTCACGCTAAATTAGATGACATAAAGATTAACGTTGTTTGTGCTTACAGACGCAATACTGCTGGCAGACCAGAAACAATTTTCATCTGGCGGAAGTTTCAATTCTTAGAGAGATTCTAATCAAACCCAGAATCGTTCATCTACCCACCTGGTGTCATGCAAGGGAGAAAGAGAGAGAGAGAGAGAATGAGTAAAATTGAGAGAGAGAGAGATAGATAGAAAGAGAGAAAGAGAGGGGGAGTGATTTTGGCGTGTTCCGCATTGAGAGGAAGATAAAGTTTTCGAGAGAAGATAAAGAGAGGAATGTTAATCAAGACACAAAATAGACGTCAGAGCAATGGTATCGAAAAACAGCCGTGAAGGGTGAAGAATGTGTCAACAAAATTGTGACGCCAGTGAAGATTTCTGGAAGATCTGATGAGTTGAGACGTCATACAAATAATAAGTCGTCAATGTAATAAGTTACCACTACATAAATACGTACATGACGGCTCTCGACTCGTTATACCAGTATGACCATCGCTGACAAGTTTGATCAACGTTTTTTGTTCTCGTGAGGACAACTGTGGCTCTTGAAACCAGCAAGTGATTTGCAATGCTTGTTGCAGACGCGGCAAACCAAGTTGTTCTGTGCAGAGCCTGGCCTGTTTTGTAAATTCTATTCAGGTTATTAATGTGTCTTCAAGCAATAAGTGATTAGTTGATTTGGATTTTTTCACGGCTTATCAAACCTTTGTGGATTATTTAAAACTGAAGCATGTTTAGAATCTTAGGAATAATTCCTTCTTTTTTTTGTTAATATTGTAGTAACAATTTTTTGAAAAAAAACATTTTTCCTGTTAGAAGTCCTACTATTTAACCCATAGGTGGGGGATGATATGGGTATATTCATTTCGTAAGTAAATGGTTACGAAGCCGACAGGAATTCGAACCCGGTTCTCCGATTCCTCATTCTGAGTTGCAATCCATTACACCACCTGTGAAGGGTGAGCCCAGAGTGGTATCTGCTGGTATTTTGACGCACGTCGCATTTTCAGTTATTCTTAATTTCTCAAAGCTCTACCAATATGGCTCTCTTGTGATTAACGAAGGATGTCGCCGATCAAGCAAGTCTGGAAAGTGAAATCCTTCTCATTGCAGATTCTCAAAATTTCCTATCT